TATAATAGTAGTTATGTATAAATATATTTATAGACTATGGTTGTAATAACTAGGTAAACACATGATTTAAGATATTATATTAAATAATGGGTAACTATTATACAAACAAATAATAATACTAATAATATGGTCAATGGGGGAAGAGGACTTCATCCCATTAGCCCCTTCTCTGCGTACGTCACTGGATAATATGTATATTAGGTACTTGTATATGTCTATTATTCGATGACGTTTTATAATTAATGTGATTACAACTTGTACAAGTTTATCATTATCAGTTAGATATATTTTACTTTATAGTGACAATGTTAATACTGAAATGCATCATGTCATATTAATATTATTATTATTGATTGCAAAACACCAAACGAAATATTTTTCACTTTGTATAGTAATATTCTCTAAACTCGGCCATCACTATAATATATATCACGGCAACATCAAACGATTAATGTATGGCTGCAGTATAACCGGCAATATATTATATTGTGCAACTAAAAGGTTGGAAAAAGCAACACCTAAAACCGTTCCACAATTAAATTATTTATGCTGAAAGCATCATTAATTGTGGTTGATAAATTTAATTGGTATACGTCCAATATGAGCGTTCAATGTTTTTAACTAAATAAAAGAGATAAAATCCTACAAAAAAAAAAAGAAAAAAAAAACAGTGTGCAATCATTTTATAGATTAAATAAATAATATTTTAACTGTTTAAATTTTTTCCCATTGGGTGCCTTGATATAAACGCTTTATTACGATTTGTGTTTAATGTAAGATATTATGTTGAATATAGGCGGAACAAATAAGCGCAGAATTCAAAGTAAGAGCCCTTAAGTATCATCCGGATAAAAACTCCGGCGACAAGAAGGCAGAAGAAACGTTCCAGAAACTTAATGTAAGCAATATAATGGGCGTTCGCGCCTCGTTTGAGGTTACCATTTTTTATTATATTATTATTATTATTATCCTCTTCGAATGATGTATTCGTGTGTGCTATATATAGGAGGCTAAAGAAACGCTGTGCGATCCGGAAAAACGGGCAACCTACGACAAATGGAAGAACAGTGGCGTGGCTGTTAGCTATAAAACGTGGCTGAGCAACAAAGAACATTTCCAACAAGTACGGATTGTGAATTACATACGATAAAATACATATGTGTAGTAGTAGGTAGTTTAGCTGTAGATTGTAATGGCGTATCCGTTCGTGTTTAACTCGTGTAAATTCGAAACATTAATAACAATATAGGTACTGCAGACATATCGAGCGTCCATGTAGGTATAGGGCGTCGATTTTATTTTGTTCTACCTCGCGGCTGCATATATGCGAATTGCGTCCCGTGGCATTGAACGCGTGGGCTAAGAGTAAAAAGATTCTAYGTTGTTGTTTTTCGAAATTCACTTTTTCAAATATTCTTATCAGTTATCATAAGTTTTCGATGGCKCATGTTTTAAGTTAGAAATTAGCAAAAMGGTTCTATGTATTTGAACATACCTAAAAAATAATCTACTGTACAATAAAATTATTTTGACACAGAACCTTTTTACTATCAGCCCTCGTTATTCCTTCCGAATTGCGTCCCGGGTATTTTTGGGGGTAATAGACAATAGTGGTAATACTAGTTGTGTCCCGGTTATTTTTACTTATGAATCTATACTAATTTATTCGATRGAAGATCTGGCATTATTTGTATCAAACATGTTTCTTTATTAACTACCTATCGAAATTGTACGTTTGTTTTAGTAAATGCTACGATGTTTGATAGGTACGTGTAGAGTATGGGACAGTTTGAACTGCGCACTACAACAATAATTATGTTTGTTGAGTGTCAGAACGTATCATACAAGAAAATTATCAAAGCTTTAACGTGATCGTTTTTATTAAATCGAAAATACTAAAATACTAAATAATTAATAATAATAACCATTAATTGGGTCTTTAAAAATTTTAAATATCACAGGTAATGGGAACGTAATTCAGATGTGTTAAAAAAAACCCCCGGGACGCAATCAGTAATATAGGTRCCTTCTTTTTATAAGGGACGAAATTCGTWAGCAGCGACCARCTGTTATGCGTAGGAACTTATTGCTGCAGCATTCTTTTAACAAAACATATATAATACCGCATGTATACATAAGTATATGACACAMAGTATGCTACCTAAAYAATAATTTTCTAAGTAGGTACTTTTGCATCAAATGTTTGATTAACCGTCGCGAACGTTATATTCGCTGCAGATTTGATTAAAATTATATTTTTGGAACTTAATAATCCTTCTAAAATGTCATCATTAGATAAATGTGCATGTGCATAGAACGAGTTTTTAAATTTTTTGCCAACTTTATTTTACCTGCAGGCAAAAAAATATCGATACATTTTACGTTATATATAATATTATCAAAAAAAAAAAAAAGAACGCGTGTACCATATTATTTTAGTAAATCTTATGTTTGGGTCATTTCCGCGAGTGAGTTAGTCATTTCGATATAATAAGTTTTGAAATCGGGAACCGTTTTGAAATTGTTTCCACGTACTCGATCCGTATAGTAAAACCACGCAGTCATCACCACCGTATTGAATATAGCAAATACTTTTCGTGAAAACAATAAACTTAATCCGGTAACTGATTAAGTTGGTACTACCTTATATATTTCTATATTTCTATTATAGTATAAGTATTTTGTTCAGTTAGATGTATTAACTTTGTTCACTGTAGGTAGTACAGCACTAATTTCCATTATTAGCCAATATAATATATATTATGATGGGTACCTACATACCTAAAACATATTATATAGAAATCTTTCAAATGATAATTTGTAACTACAACAATGAAGAATATGATATCGTAATAATTGAATTTTTTTTAGTCTATGCACTGGGCACAAATGAACACTAAAGATAGAATGCTACCGGAAGGTGATGAAGGGGCTTCGTCTTCAAAGGCGTCCAGGAGAGCATCTGAAGGTGGAGTGAACTTGGGAGCCAACAAAGTAAAATGGGACGCAAAATCTAATGCAGACATTATCAACAAGTTTCGCAATTACGAAATATAAGTCCCATAGTAATAATTTCGTCTATAAAAAAACAAAAAAAACATTCCTTCATCGAATAAATTATAGGTACTTTCAACATGATATAATATAAATTCTTATAATTTGTATTTGTACACTATATACATACCTATTATACTAAACTTTATAAAACTCATCTTTACCCTCAGGCCTGAGAAGCTAAACACGGTAAATAACATAAGAATAACTGCACCTTTAAAATAAAAATATTACTATTATTATTCGATTACGCTTACTTCTGAAAGGGTATAAAATGAAACTTTTTGGGGTAAATTAGAGGGAATTTTCTTCTCAGACCTTTGAATTAATCTAATCTTCAAGAATTTCTCTTCTAGTTATTTCTAAACATAACACTATTCAACTATTGTCTAGTCATTAAACAGTAAATGATACTTAACGTTCACAATTAATTGAATGCGATGTTGAGTCGAGTAGATTATGTTACTGAAACCAAATAATTAATAATTAATGTAGTTTGATATCAGTCTCGYCAAACAAAGATTAATTGTAACATTGTTCAATTCTATATGTTTCAAAGATGTAATATTAATAATAGGTATAATAATATGATGATATGTGTTATTCTGTTATTATAAAATTAGTGCATTTCTAAAACAATTAGCTAAGACACAGCATAGTATTGATAGTATATCGTGTTATAGTTTATTGTATTATTA